AAATAAATGAAAATTAAAAAGATATATTTTGTAGATTTATAAATTATATTGAATATTTCATTGAAATCTATCATTATTATAAAACAATTAAAAATTATAAAAATTGTAGTCTTTTAAGACTTTTGTAATAAATCTACAATATAATTTTTCAATTTTCATTAAGTTTAGATAAAGTTACAAAAAATGATTTTTATTTTCTTCAATTTCTATCAATTTCAACATTTTTAAAAAAATTTTTTATATGTCACATAATAAATTAATTTTTCTAACTCAAAAAAAATCGTTTCAATGCAATTTTAAAAAAAATATTTTGTTTTAAATATTTTGTAATAAATGAAAAAATTCTGTACTTTTATCTATAAACATTAATTGATTAATTCTAAAATTTGTTGCAATATACATTCTATGCTTTTAGTATTATTTATCACTTTCAAATCCCATGTGTTTATATCATCCAAATCACATTCAGTTTCTGCATCATCAATACCTGTAAAATATTTAAATTATTATTTTTTAAATTAATAATAATATAAATAATATATATAAATATAATATAAATATAATAATATAAATATACAAATAATAAAAGTTATAAATTAATTATGAAATTCACATTAAATTAATAAATTTTAATAAATTTTATTACTATTTATTAAATTTAATATTAATTCTCTTTTTATATACCTGTTACAAATGTCCAACCACGCTCAATTCTAATTGAATCATCTGATTCAATACGAATTGTTTTACATATATCTTTAAAATTTTCTGTAAACCACTGTATGTCAGTTTTTCTTCGTATATCGCTTACTATCCATATCGATTTATCATATGCTAAAATAAATATACATTATTTTACAGAATTTTAATATAAAATATTAATATAAAATTTCTAATATTATAATATACAATTTTTCACCATTATATATATCTAGAGCCGCACGACAAAAATAACCTTGATCTGTATTTCTAATATGTTCTCCCCACTTTACCATTTCAAGACGATAGTTTTCTTTGTACTTTCCATCTCCCATTAGTTGATCAATATTTAAACCATGAGATTTAGCCCAATGAGACTTAATTGGTGCAGATATTTTTATAATTACACTGTTATCAGATCCAATTCTATTAAAAAGAATATCAATAATAATATTAAATTAATATATTATTAATATTATATATAATATATATATAATATATATATAATAGTCATTTCTAATAATCATTTATTTAACGTTATATTATTATTATTAAAAAGTTATAACCTTTCATATAAAATATTTGTAATATAATCTTTTCCACATTTTCTTTTACCACTAAATAATAAAATTATTTTTGGTTTTGAAGAATTTTTAAAGTTTATTACACTATTATCGATATGTTGACTACTCGCCATTTTGTATTATCACTACAATTATTTAAACATTATTTAAAATAACAAAAAATCATATAATTACTCGTTTAAGCTCTAATTTTCTTAAATTATTAATATTTATTGTGTTACATTTCAATACTTTGATATTATTCATTATATTATTTCATTAATGCCAAATAGTATAAAGTGAATATTTTTATTTTTTAGTGTTATTGTACATAGAATGAAACACATTTGGACACAATTCATATAGTCACTGGATTTATGAGGGATTTAGTAGTTTTTTTTACATTTTTATTTATATTATCATTTTATTTTTAATTATATTATATTTTTCTTTTTAACTCTATTATGATTATAATTTATATATTTCATATCTTTTATATGTATTCCTACTTATAATTCATAAGATTAATATATTTTAAAAAAATATTATTTAATTATATTATATTTACTGATTCAAAAATGTACATTATAATATATATATAAAAAATATATATTTCAACATTTTTTAAATGCAAAATTATGAAATATCAGTTTTATTTTATGGATCAAATATTATTAGAAAATAGAAATCAATTAATATTTTTGATATCTTAATATTATTATATGATATTATTATTTGATATTTTATGTAAAAATAAAAAAAGTACGAATTAGGAATTATAATGATTTAAATATCATTAAATTAAAATATATAGTAAATAAATAATTCTCATACTCACTTTTTATATTCTAGTTTTTTATAATATTCGCATAATTATGAAATAATAAAAGGTATTATAAAAGGTAATATAAAACAAAATTAAGGCTTTCCATTCACAAGTATTATATCAGAGACATAAAAAACAATCATTTTATTCATGAAATTTTACATTAAAATTGCTTCACTCTTTACTTTATTACATAAAAACATTCAGAAAAATATTTTATTTTAATAGTTATATCTCTAATGCAATTTTCGTGAATAGTCAGTTTAATTTTAATGATATTCATTTTTTAAATTTTTATTATAATAAAATCATTGATATTAAAAAAAAAATTATTTTTTAGCTTCACGAAGAGCTTTACGTTTCTCTGCCCTTTTTAATTGTTCTTTGGGTTTTAGATTATGTTTTTTGGCAAAACGTTGATTTCTTAAGAATTTGAGATCCATCTAAAAAAATATTAAAATAATAAGATATAGAATTATAAACATAATAAAGATATATTTATTTATATAAGTAATGTTAATATAAAAATAAAATTGATAGCAATATTATAATTATAAATTCTATTTATTTATATATTATAAATAATAAAATTGTTAAAAAATTATTTAAATTATTAATTTAAACTTACACCAAGTGTAGATTCATGCCTATAACGTTTTGGTTTTTTGATACCATTCCGGTGAGCTTTACGATCTACAAATTATTAATTATAAATAATTAATTAATTACTTTGTATTTTATAATTTAAGAATAATAATAACATAAGATTAATTTTGTTAATTATATATATACATTTTTTTCATATAATAGAAATTATTTAAAAGTAAATAACTTTTTTGTTCCTAAATATTTAAATATAATAAATTTTTTATTCATACTCACTTTGATTATGATTAGTATGATTTTTAGACTTTGCCATTCTTCCGTATAATTCACTTCAAAAGAGAAAAAAAAACTTAATTTAGAGAATAAAAAAATAAATAATATTTCAGGTTATAAATTCTTCAAAGTAGAATTGAGAAAGAATGATTACAAAAAATTAATACTAAAAAGAGTTATTCAATATTAAAAATAATTTAATAATATTATTATATTAGTTAATTTAAAGATTATTTGGATAAAATATATTTAAAATAAAATTTTCTACTTACGTGACTTAGTCTTAAGTTTTCGGAAGCGGAAGTTTCAAATGAAAAGAAAGATTAATAACGAACGATAGTAGCGCCTTATATTGCTACGTATTTCTTTTTATTTTTTTTTTTTCAAATTCAACTTTTCAATATGCAATTTTTTCCTTTTTTTAAAGTTTTTTTTTTAAAAGACTATTTAACGATATAATTTCGATTCAATTTTAGTACGAATAGATAGAGGAAATTTAATATCAAATATATTTTTTATTTCTTTTTTTGAGATTTTATTCTTGATGTTTTTACTATTTTAGTATTATTCTCAATATTATTAATTCAATTTAAAATAATTATAATATTAACTAATAGTAATAATTGGAATTGAAATTAAATTAAAAGCATAGATAAAAAAAAATAAATAAAAGGAGAGAGATTAAGATAAAAAATAAAAAAAATAATGAATCAATATTTTAAACATATTTATTAGCAGTTCATAAACATTATTTACTTGCTAATTTGTTATATGCTGTTATATGCTGTTCAATCACAAAATTTTTATTCTGCCAAAATATCATCGCGAATAGTTTGTAAGTATCAATATTAAGCCGTTTACAATATGCGTTATATGAAATATGCCATTATAGAAGAAAAACATTCTTTTGATTGGATAATGAAGAGAATCAATATGGTGGCTAACCTATAAAATAAAGCATTTTTAAATATGCATAACTTTTGATTCCATAATTTTCTAAATTAAAATTATGATTTTTTTATTCTTCAAATTTTATCAATTTGCAAAAAAATATCTTCAAAATTTTATGTTTTTAGAAATAAAATTCAATCTTGATAAATTTACACACTGTTGCGAACTGATCGGAAGCAAATTCAGCCACAGATTAGATATAGAATCGACATTCAATATCTTTTTGTATTATATAATCCTGTTATATAGTTATATAGTTTTATATATATCTTGTCACATACAATTCAAAAAAAAATCACCTCGAATTCCTGTTTTTTTTTATTCGCTAACTTTCTTTATATTTGGTAAGATATGTACGATACAAAAATTATAATTATAAGCTTAAAATCATTATCGAATCATATTGAAATGAAAAATCAATAAAGATTAATAGATTTTCGATTTTGCATATTTTAAATTTTTACAGATTTTAAATTTTTTCTTCAATATATATATATATATATATATATATACTATAGTTACTATAATTTATGTATTATGATGCATAATAACTTATTATTTTTTATTATATTTGCATTTTTTATATATGTTTGAACTAAAAACTCATGATAACAAATATTTGATAAAATGATCGATGATAAATTATAATAAATGATAAATTTTTTCGAATAATAAAAAGAATTGACTCTAAGATCATAAGAATTGACTTACATTAATTAGACATTATATAATCGCTGGTATTAAGCTTATAACAATTTATAACTCTAATAATATATTTGCAATAATATATTTTCATAAATTTTCTTTTTTTTGTTTTTTTAATTTTTCATTACTTATTTTCATAAGATTAAAAAATCAAACAAAATCTAGTATTTTATTATATTTTTTTATTTTATTCAATATAAATAAAAAGATTCAATTATAATAATATATTATATATAATAAATATATTTATTATTGATTGATCTAATCTTAATAAATATCGTTTGATTTCTTTAATCAAGATATTATTTTTTTATTTCATATTCTATAAATAAACTTGGTTTCCAATATTCGAATCCAATATTCGAAACATCAATATATTACAATAAATAATCTGTTTCTTTTAATGTAGTTCTGCAATTTATATAACAATGAGTAAAAATATATAAACTTTTCTTTATATTATAAATAAAAATACATACATTTCTCTAAAGTGCAATTTTTCTGCTGTTAATGCGAGCTTTCTAATGTTTCGAATGGTGGATGCTGCAGCAATTTGCAATTCTGGATCATCTGATCCCACCAAACGTAATATATGCTAAAAATTTTCAATATAAATATGCATTAATTCTTATAAAACATAAAAATTATACAATGATGAATTAGTTAAATTATTAAATATTATAATAAAATTTTTTTATAAATTTATTAAAGAATTCTTGATCAAATATTAATTATTGTTATTTTATTATGTCATTTATGTCATTTTTTCCAAATATTATATATATTTTTATTTTAATATTTTTATCATAATAAATAAATAAAATGTAAATAATTAAAATTTTTTTAGTTGCTGCATTTAAAATATATCAATATATATATATATAAATTATAGCATAAACATATAAATATCTCTTACAGACAAATTTCATTGTACCTTAATAATACCAGCAGAATGCATAGTAATACAATTCATAGGTTCCCTGCTTAAATGATATGTAGCTGTACAAACTCCTCTAAGAACATTTTTATTCTTGCTTGTCATATAACTAATTAATGGAGCAACTGCTTGTAATTGACCAAATTTATAGTTATTCTCTCCCCATTCGCAACAATGAGCAATGGCTAAGGTTAAATTTGCACGCAAATTTTCATCTTGCTAGAAAAGAAAGTAAAATAAAAATAAGATAATTCGAAATAATTAATGGAATTTATAAAATCGAAGATTTTTTAATTTCACCTATAAAACAAAGTGTTTCGAATGAAAATTTTAAGGAATACCGTGGTCACAAGGGCGGCCAGTTTATCCACTACACCATGATCGCTAAGAATGCCTAAATTTTCTGGATCTACAGCGATTTCAGCAATAGTGGCGCATACTGCACTTAACACTTCGTTGTTTGTGTTGTCGAGGAGACTGACCGTGAGTTCCAATCCACCCACGAATGCTCGTACCATTTCAGGAGAATCTTTCGCGTATTTAATGCAAGGCACCAATGCCAGACAGGAATTTATTTTGATTTTATCGCTGGGATGTTTGAGCAATGACCAAACTAATCGGACACCATCGTTGACATGCTCTGGATCATTGATGATATCCATGCACAATTCATTTTGAGCACATTCTTTTATTACCAATGGTATGTTTTCTAATAGAGGCTCATATGTAGAACTTAATAACTTGATCTGCATATGATTTATGCTTTATTAATATTTTATGTCATATTTTTTAACCGATTAACTTGTCATTTTGAATCTAAATCGTATAGAAATATACTATCGAAAGAAAGTTTCATATGAAAATTTAAAATTAAACATAAAAATAAAACATAGAGGAAAAAGATTAAATTACGATAAAATAAAGATATTTATCATAGAATAAAAAAAAAATATTTACATTTAAAAAATTTACATAAAATATTTACATTTAAAAAATTGAAATTATTCAATTAATTATTAAATATATAAAAAATCTGAAGAATAGAAGATTAAGAAAATAAAGGTAATAAATATCCAATAATTAATAAAAAACAAAATTCGTTATTTCTAATTCAATTTCATATTATCTTATATTATAAATTTCTTTCTAATAAATAAAATATTTTCACGATAAAAAATAAATAAACAATTACCAGATTTGGCAATCCTTCATTGATCCTCAAACGGTCTCTATTAACAGGATCTTTGCAACATTCTGCCAATGCTCCTACAACATTCGCTTGCACTTCTTCATCTTCAATTTCTTCCAGAAATTGTACCAAAGAAGCTATCAAATTATTTTGATTGAATCTTATAACGTTCTCTGGACTCATGGCACATTTCCATATTCCACCTGTGACAGCAGCTAGCAATCGTTTATTAGCACGAACCTCTTCTTTTTCTAAAAGCTTGCATAATACATCTAGACCAGACGATTGGCGAACCATGTCCCTGGCGACTTTGTTGAGGCCACATTTGTATATTGCTAGAGCACAGTTTTCTTGCAGTTTAACATTATCGCTTTTTAAATGTCGAACCACATCATAGATAATATTTGTTTTCTCAAATGATTTGCGAAACATATCCTGAAGAAAACGTGAAGATTTTTTTGATTGATATTATTTATAATAGTTTTATCATAGTTTTACTTTTTAAATGTTATCTTTTAAAATTTATCTTATAAAATTTTATTTATTATTCTTTTTGTCACGTAAATATATAAATATATAAATGTAAATATATAAATAATAAATTATAATTTATTGAAAATGAATTTTTAAATATTTAAAATTTAAAATTTAATTATTTTTCTTATTAATATCTGGTAGTTTATCACGTAACAATAATAATAATAGTATATATATATAAATAAATACCCTATTCGCGCACTGCTGAATAGTTCCAACCATTGGTATTATAAGAGAAATATGTTGTGATTTTAAAAAACGTTCCATGTGATTCACTACGCCATGATTGTGAAGCGATTCTCTTATTTTTGGACTACTGCTCAGTGAATCTAAAACTTTAGCACAAGCTATCGCAACCTTTATCAATTCTTTATTAGCTTCATTTAAATTATTATATGGTGTCTGAAGGATAGAATCTGGTATATCCATTACATCCAACTATAAATATATTATATTTATATATAATAATATAATAATATATTATTTTTATGAATATTTTCATCATCAATTTTTCTAATAAATCCAGAAAAAGAAGAAATAATGAAATTTGATTAAGTATTTAATAATAAATTAATTTAAAATGCTCACAATGAGAGGTATTCCATTTCTAATTCGTATCTGTTTTCTTGCTTTTCTTATTCGTGCGATAATAGCCATAGTTTCTGCAGCTAAAACCTTTGCAATAATTTTATAAATTTGATTTTTTTTATATTTTTGAAATAATGTATGTAAACAAGCAATAAATAATAAAATTTATAATAAGTGAAAAACTAACTTGAATATCTCTAGCTGGATATCTTAACATTTGAATCAACGGTGTTACAATACCAAGATCAATTAGATGCCTTCGCATATCTATCGATGTTATGATTTGAAGTAAGACTGACAACGAGCCGTTCTGACATTTTAAATCTTTTGTTTCGAGTAGATTCACTAAGATTTCTAGACCTCCCATATCTCGAATTGCTTTTTGTATCGTCTATTATTATACACAATTAAAATTGAATTTTATTTTTTATATGCATCAATTTATTATCAATTTATTAAAATTAAAAATTGCGAATATTGTTATCTAGATGTAGAAATTAATTTAAAAAATTTTAAAATGTAAAATTTTAAGTGATTTAATAATTATATAATAATGTTAGTAAAACTGAACTATTCAAAAATTAACTTTAATTTGTATTAATAATAATATTGTTAAATGTTAATATTACTAATTATAATAAGAAAATTAATAACTAATATTATAACTGTATAGAAAAAGAAATGAATTACTTTATTGGATAGATCGTGATCTTTTAAAAGACAGACAGCCACCATAGTTGCAGTTTGATTTCCTGCTTTCATATATCTGATAAGTTTCTGTATATGCCAAAATTCTGATGGCACATCCGGAGCTTCTTCTTCAAAATATTTTACTTCTTCATCGATTTCAGATTCAGGTTCGTCATCTGAACTCTCATCTTCTTTTTTTTCACTTATGTAATGAACTCGAGGTCCGAAAGGTTGTCCTGTGACTGCTGATATTAGTGGCTTCGGTGGTTCTTCTGGTTCAAGTACTTCCAAAATATCCGGTTCGATTCTTTATTTAAAAAATATTAAAACGAAGAATTATAATTATATTATTATAATTATATTTATAATCACAGAATATAATAAATCACAGAATATAATTGATATTATATGCAAATATTAATCAGTTATAGAATTATTTAGTAATAAAATTATTAAATTTATAATTAAATTATTTATTTGCAAAAAAAGATATCATGATATTATTTTAAGTATGTATATTTATAAAAGTTATTTTAAATTATTATAATAAATTATTATTATAATAAAAATATAATAAAAATAATAAAAAGTACTAATAAATAAATAAAAAAAGGAATATTAAAAAAATAATATAAAAATGAAAAATTTTCTTATCTTTTGATATATTAAAAAATGTAATATTTCAATAAGTTTATCAAGATTTATGTATATTTTTTCATTTAGTACAAATATACATTTAGTACATATAATATTTAATGTTAAAGCATTTAACTTACACTGGTGGTGGATCGATGGATATCTTTTTTGCATCTTTTTTTCGTTTTGGTGGCATAGTTCTCTATTTCTGATTATAAAGAAAAACTAATATAACTTCGATTACTTTTTTTTAGCATATATGAAATAAAATAGCTTCATTGTTTTATGCCTTTATATTAAAGAATTTGTTAACCTCCATTTTGCGCACGCATATATTGATCAAACAGTTGTTCAGAATATGTGATCTATAAAGATATGTTTTTTCTATAAATCATATTTTTTATTATTTTATTTTATATTATCTTTTTTTAATTTTATTTTTTATTAAATATTCTATTTATAAAATATTTTTGCATATTTTGAAGAGAAATCATTAAATAATATTATTACATAATATTATTTAGTTTTTATTTCATAATTTATAATATTTTTATATATATTTATTATATATTTAATTTATATTATATATATTTATTATATATTTAATTTATATTATATATATTTATTATATATTTAATAATAAATATTATATTTTTTAATACCTTTTATAATTATGTTTGATTCAAATTAACAATTTTATAATTATAATTAGAAAAATGAATCTCTTCCCAAAATAATGTTTACTGACTTGAATAAGTGATTTATTAATTAAATATATTGTTTTCATGTTTTCTTTACATATATGTACCTACACAATAAGGGCAGATAAAGTCAAAAAAAGTCGAAAAGTTTAGAAATACTAATTTCGATAATTCGTACATATAAATATATTATATTAAATATATGATGATATTATATTAAAATATAAATTCACATGACAGATAACTATGAAATTACTTGATGTAAAATATTCTGAATGTAGTGACACTTTGTCAAACGATATTTATTTTTTATTTAAATTATATTTCTGTTTCGATTCATCGCATTCAATGTACAATATTTCGTATTAATTATGTCAATTGAGATTTACAAATGACAGGAAAGACGTAAAAACATTAATTGTTTTATATTCTAAATTTTAGGTTAAAACTCTACAAAATTTTAGCCCATTCGTTTATTAATGTCAAAACAAATATTTTCGTAGGAAATATTCTCGAATTTAATAATGTACAATGGTGAATGATGTGGTTGATGTATCAAAGATAGAATTTACTTATGAGATATCTCTTTATGCTGTTAAATTGATGAAAAAATGTATAATACGTATGGCTGAAATTTATAAGCATTTTACTCATCATTAAGGTATGATAAATTTAAATATATATGTTTCTATAATTTGAAAAATTCGATATTTTATTCGAGTGTTACAGAATGAAGAACGTCGAGGAAAAAGGTGGAAGTAAAGAAAATCTAAGAGCGGTTTGTAAAATTGCTAAGAGAATCAAATGTTCCATATACACATATATGCTACTCCGTTTTCAGTGGTGTTACTTTTAATATCTTTATCAGTATGGCTTTGTATATGTCGGTGGGGATTTCGATATAATTTAAAAGATCGAGAAGTAATTATTTAAACTATTAATTACTATAGAATACAATTGTAAAATCATTAAAGCATTTTTATCATATTATAATCATATTTTGTTTTTATGTGTTTATTATTATTAATTATATAAATAAATATGTTATAATATAATATATATAATATATAATATATATATAATATATAATAATACTTATAAACAACTTGTACCTGCAGATTTTGTCCTGTTTAATTTTGTACTTTATTGTCATCACTTTGTTGAATATGTTCTTTTTGGGCCACATGCAATTTTATTGCGATCATCCACATGGAATCAAAAATTAAAAGCTTGTTATTGTAACACGTAAGATTTAATATATTTAGTAATGTATATGTACTATTCACTATATTTGATTTGTTTTAAAAAAATAACAAAATTGATTAATATTTCAATATAAGTAAGAGAATGTTGCATTAAAGTATTTATTAAATTTATTATATATTGAATTTTGTAAAAATAAAATATTTGTAATATAACAAATATATCATCTGTAAATATTGTATTACGTTATATTTTCCTTAAATCGATGTTAATATATATATATGATATACATTGATCGAAATATTAATATATATATCAGTACTCAATAATTATATTATTAAATAAATATATATTTTTTAAAATTATATTATTTTTTGTTTTAATTAAAAATATAAAGTTTTAATTAAAAGTGTATTGTTAAAAATTAATTTAACTGTATAATAGAACTGTATACAAGAATATTCAAATATATTGTTTATGAAAATAGTATATTTCGATTTATCGAAACTTACTAGGTTAAGTTCCTAGAGTATGTTACTAGGTTAAATTTCTATAGAAACTTACTAGGTTAGATAACTACAATAAGTGACTGTTCTAACAATTACTTAAATTTAATTTTAGTTACTGAATATATTTAAAAAAAATACAAGGTATTAAATATTTTATTTAATTAATATTTCAATATTTTTAAATAACAAACTTGAACACTGATTTATAATTTCATGTATTATTGAAAAATACATAACCTTCAAAATATGTTAAAATATATTGTCAAAAATATATTTTAATTATATGTTAATTATATGTTAATTAAAATACGAATTACAGTAATTTAAAGCTATATTCCTTATATAATCTAATTATTAATAAATATTTTCATACATTTTGTTATTAAATATATATATTATAGATTATTTATTTTATTCTTTATTATAAATTCATATTTTAATTACATTATAAGAAAGCTAAAATGAATAATTAATAGAAAATATATTAATGAAAGAATAAAAAAATACATATGAATAAAAAAATTGATAATTGGTTTATTATATATATTTTTAATTTATTTAAAAATAACATTAAATTATTTTTACATTAATATTAAATTTATTTTTACATTAATATATTTTTAATACATTTTTAATATTATATATTATATTTTATTATATTATATTATATTTATATTATATATATATTATATTTTTTTCAGATGGGTATGCGTAGACATGTTCAATTTCTTGCTCGAACAGTTATGGTTCAAAATAATAATGTAGAGAAAGCTGCTCGTATATTGAACAATATATTATCAAAAGAAGGTATTTTTCAGCAATATAGATATACAAGATATTATGAAAAACCTACCCAAACAAGAAGAAGAGTTAATTATGAAAAGTGTAAAGCAATTTATTCTGAAGACATGAATAGAAAAATTAATTTCATTTTAAGAAAAAATAGAGAAGATCCATTTCCTGGCAGTTCATAAAACATTTATTAATTTTGATATTATTTATAAGTCAATATATAGATGATATGGTTATAATATTTTTATTATATTACCTATATGCATAAGTAATTAGAACATATTCAATAAATTATAAAATTTAATTAAGTTAGTCTATTAAGTACAATTAAAAGTAAATCAATTAAAAGTACAAATATTATACAAAAATATGTATAATATAATATTTAAATTATTGATTTAATACATATAAATATATAAAATAATAAAATTATATTTAAATTATTGATTTAATACATATAAATATATAAAATATACAATTTCTTAAAATATGAAAATATAAAACTATATATTATTATATTTTTAAACTAAATAATATATGATATATCATAATAAAATTTTTTTTTGGCCTTTTATATAACTTTATATTTATTTATGTATATATATATATATATAATATACAAAATATATATATATATACAAATAACATATATAAAAAAAAAGATTTTAATAAAATTTTCCAATGAAATATTTTTTCTGTTACTTTTTTATTAAAAATATTTTTGAATTAACAAAATTTAAAAGAAAAAATATGAATTTTTATATACATATTGTAATAAAAATTAAAATTTTATATTAATAAAATTTTTACATTAATCTAATTTCTATTATTCTATAAGAATAATGAAATTATTGAAATATATAATTAAATAATGAAATATATAATTATAACATAACACAAATAGATTTGATGCAATTATTCATATAATTCGAATATAAATAAAACAGATCAATTAAATAAAATAAATGTTACGTTACGTATATAAAAATAATAAAAAAAATTTGTAAATAATATTATTATTATTATATTTGGTTATTTTTATAATCAATAGTTAGTATTAAAATAAGAGATTTTGTTTATAATACTTGTAGTATATAATATTGACAAAAAATATTTTAAAACCTTTATATAAAATGTAAAACTTTAGTAGAAATTTATGTTCTCAATTTCTAAATTAAATTTTAATGTTTTTAAATTTTTTCTATTAAAAAATTTATATAAGCAACTTAAAATCAAACTTTGTATGGTGGCGCCATTGTATGAATTATGTGAATCATCTTATGTGAATCATTTTAGATCTCCGTTGGTAAATAAAATTCGTAAAGTTTTTAAATCAATTTAAAAATGATTTAAAATTATAATATATCAATATTTTAATAATTTTTATTTTAATAATATTTAATGAATGGTATAACATTTTAAATAATTATTAATATTTATAATTGAAATGAATTGATGAAATATTTATGAAATTAAATATATAAAATAATTTATAATAATTATATAATTATAATATATTATATATATAATAATAATCATTTTTTAAATATTTTTTATATAAAATCATTATTAAAATGATTGTAAAATCTATTTTTAAGAAAGATTAAAAATATCGTCTTATTAATAATTGTTATGTTATTACAAATTACTATTTTTTTTATTTTTGTTAATTTATTTTGATTCAATATTTAGATAACATTTTCTTTTTATTTTAAAGAGATTATATTTTCATATAATATTTCTTTTTGATTCGTAGAAATATTAAAATTATTATTAAAATTATTATTAAAATAATTCACCCAATTAAAAATTAGATGAATTATCAATTTGCTATTTTTGATTATAATTGTTAATATAATTATAATAATTAATATTATTATTATTAATTACAATTATTTTCTTACTGAGAAATTTAGCACTATTTTTCAGTAATTCTTGCCAAACTATCGAATTTATTCATTAAAAAATTCGATAAAATCTTTTTGATGTCTTCGTCAAAAAGTTTTGATATCTGAGAAAAAATAATTTAGTAAGAATTTCTTTATTAAGTACAACACA